GACAAACAGCATCTGGTGTGCGGCAATCTCTTCCTAGCTGTTTCGGCCATATCTGGCAGTGTTCTGTCCAGGATGGCATAAAGAGGGATGCTACAGGTGGGGTGAAACTGGGCAGTCGGTATTTTGAGAGCAGGGATGGGATCATCCCTGCTGGACTGCAGCCAGTACACTGCTGCTGTTGCCAGAAATGCCATGGGATCTGTAATGGCGACAAGTCAGTCAGATGGAGAGAAGTTCTTGTGTTTCTTCCAACAGCGCTGCCAAAATATGCGCTTTCTCTCATATCCCCTGGCTCAGCTCCTGTTAAGGAGGATGATCTCTAATGGGATTCCTTTTCTGTGGCATGGAGAAGGCCTTTCCTTCCCTGCCAGTAGAGAGTTTCAAATGGGAGGAAGAATGTCAGAATCTCAGATGAGTTGGAAAATGCCTTACTGTAGGCAGCAAAAGCAGACTGAGCATGAAATATGTGCGTCCAAGTGCTCTGCAAAGTCCCAGCTTTCCTGGCACAGCAGAAGTAGAAATACTACATTGGCTCACTTGTTGCTCTTACCTCCCGGGGAATCCCTGTCAAGATGACATACCCAGCTGTGGTAACACTGCAATGGTGCTTATCTTCCATTTAGAGGAGCCTCTCGGAAGGAGCTCATAGTCATGGTGCCCAGCAACTCTCACAGGGCAGGGGAAGGCTTAGTGGGGAAAGAAGTTCTGCATGTCCAAGCCCATCTGAAGCTTGGACTTAATATAGCAGTTTTTATATACCCCTTGGATCCATCCAGTTGGTGTCTGTGTATATCAGTAGTATCGTATGTACTTCAAAGAGATGAGACATACCTGTGCTAACTTATGTAGGGCATCTTGTGCTTTCCTCTTCCCAATCTAGTCTGTCCTCAGTCTCTGTGACTCTTAAAAGCATTGGTAGGCAAAATAAGTAACGCTTACTAAGCTAGAGAGCAGGTAAGTCTTAATGCTGTCCTGCGCATGTACCTCTGGAAGATATTTTGGAGCTAAGCTTCACATGCTTAGCTCCAATGTGCATGTTGTCTCACACTTGTCAAAGCTGATGTGGAGCTTTTTTGCTTGGAGTGAAACTGGCACTTCAGCAAGATGCCCAGTCATGAGAGGCCCGAGGGCTGGAGCTGTCTGTCTGCACACCAGGCTTGAGGTGAGGGGCCCTGCATTATCCCCCAGGGAATCCAGCCTTCAAGTTCTGTTCACCCTCAGGCTTTGGCAGTCTCTCGCAGGCACTGCTTCCTTGTGTGTTGCTTGTGGACCCTGCTCTCTAATCCCAGCAGTGAAGGTGCTCCGTTCTTCTGGGAGAAGTCTTTCTCTTTGCTTGCTAATGGGCTCCAGCCAGTTAAAGATAAGGCCTGCAAACCTGATCCTGCTAAAGTATGAGACAAAATTCCTGTTGACTGAACAGAGTCAGCTTTACCCAGAAGAGACTTGTTTGTAGCCCTGAGGCCTGTATGTGATGCCAGAGAGCGCTCTCTTCATCTAACGCTCTAGTTTTTGGAGAGGTGGGGGATGAGGACTGAGGGGGGAAAAGCTGAAGTCCAGAACTGACAGCATGAGCAGAGATTAGAACTTGCTGTTCCTCCCACCTTTTTCTCCCTGTTGGTGTGCCTCCATGCTAATTTAGACCTGTGGCAACCATCAAAGCCTTGCTGCATACCTTCTGCACAAAGGAGCCCGTCTCCCATGTGGGGGCGTTCTCTGCTGGGACAGAGTCAGCTTGTCCCCCAAAAGAAAAATCTTAAGCACCCAATTGCCTGCTTGACTGACTCCCTGGCTGCTATTATGTTTCTAACCACAGTAATTGGCTTTAGTAGTTATTAATGGATTATGTTTGCAGAGGGAGGGACAGAACTCCACACCTAGCTTTGTAGCTGAGGGATTCCCTGACCAAAGTGCTGCTTTGCAGACATGAAGTTTGACTGGTGAGCTGTCAGAGTGAGTCCTTTTTGCCTCTCTGCCCTGAGATGGGAGAGGATGGCAAGCAGGAAGTGCTCCCCTGTCCTGCACTGTGGTAGAGGGAAGGCAGGTATTAAGCAGAAACCCTGTGTCTAAATGCAAAACGCTGCACGCTTTCTTAACTGGCCCTTGTGGCTGTTGCACAGAAATGGGAATCAGCTTTTAAAGAGGCTTTTCCTTGGACTCTCAGGTTTTGGTCAGGCACTTGGGGAAGGGTACCCATGGGGAAGGGTGCCTGTGCGCACTCTTAAAGCATATGTGCAGGGAGCCCTGTGCTGCAGGTATATTGAGCCTATTGCACATGCTCTATCAGTGAGCCTAGGATTTTGCACGTAAAGCAGCCTGGTTGGAGGGACTCTGAAATAGCTTTGGTTAGGTGCTGCAGGCCCAGTCCATCCCTAACTGGCAGCTAAGGGTCATGGTACCTGTGTGGACATCTCCAGGTGTGTGTGTGCTTGGGGAGGAGGGCTATAACCAGGAAAAAAAAAAGAGCCTTCAGTAGCTGTGGCCCTTCCTTGGCTCTTGTAGCTCTTTGAGATAGTTTGATGGTAGCTGCCTGCCTCTTCTGCTTAGTATACTTGGCAGTGTTGCTTCAACCTTATGATTTGGGGAAAACCATTGCTGAGCTAAAATATGGAGATAGGACTAGAAAGAGTCTTGAGTTCTGGCCCTGCTTTTCCAAGGCTCTTCTCTGGCTTTGGTCAAGTTGAGTGTATGTTCACACCTTCACTGCTGGAGTACCTTGTTTGTAACACCAGCAGTAGTGCTTCTCACAGAAGTTGAGGAGATTACAAGAACCCATTCCTTGTGCATTAAAGCCTTGGAGACACCTTCTGACCGCCAAAAGAAGAATGTTGTAGAGGGTCAAAGGGATGTTTAAAAAATGCTATTTTTATGGACAAAGCATGTTTACTTATTTTGCTTTCTTCTTTCAGCTGCCAGTCCCTATGTCATGCTGCGAAAGATGTTTAGGCAAAGCATAGATCCAGCCTGTATTTAAAGTAGTGACTGTTTCCTGCATTCATGCTATCCTTGTTGCAATGATTTTAAATATAGTTTTGGCATTTTATTTTCAGTAGCTGCAATAAATGTTGCTTTGTGAGAGGTCATTTTTAGCTTGCTTGGAAAATCTTTGTGTGGATTGGTTTCTCTTGTTTGGACCAAGGACAGGAAGCTGGCACAATGCAAGCAATGTGGTGTGGAGAGCCGCAGCACCCAAGTGCTTAGGCTGCTTGAGTTTAAGGATTAGTTCATGTCTTATCGACTAGTTTAAGGCCAGCGGATGTCGGATGACTTCTGGAGCCAGCACATACAGCAAGGACACAATATTGCCAAAGAGGATTTTGGAATGGACCCTGTTGGAAAGTGTGAACTGAGCCAAATATTGTTGCAAGAGAGTTATGCTGTGGCATCTCTAGTAGAGAGAGCTTAAGCACTGGGCAGGGCAAATTGATCCAACTTTAAAATTGGCCCTGCTGTGAGCAGGTTGGACTGGAGACCTCTAGAGGTTCCTTCCAATTTGCATCATTCTGTTATTTGTTAGGCCTATGATGCTGCAGCCAGTTCATGGTCGTGCTGGGAATTTGCCAGCACGCAGAAGCAAACCATGAAGCAGAAGGTTAACAGCAAGTTTTCCATGGGGTCTCTCAGCAGCTTAGGGTTTCACTGACAGTATATGGAATGACTTGAGTACTGTGCTAGCTGTTCTGAAAGTGTCACTGAAGGTGCAGCTGTTCCTGTTCTAGGCTTTCCCTCCACACACGCGGATATATCTGTGTCTCCTGCCGATGCTCTGCAGTCATGGCCTGCTGCATCTGGGAAGTTCAGGCCAGCTACTGAGGCTGCTCGGAAGCCCCTGTCCCTTTGCTGCTGTCTTTAGAGCACAAGGATTTGAGGATTTGTAAATTGTTTTTTTTTTATTATTTTGTTTTGTTTACAGCTCATTTGTGACTGGGACAGCCTGCTGTGGACACACCTCCCCTTTGAGAATCTGGGACTTTGAGAGGTAAGTGAACTTCCAGGTTATGAGGAGTGACTTGATTTGAGAGAAGTGAATAACCGTGAGAAATGCAATGCTGGAGATGGCATGGGATCATTCCTTTAGTTCATGTGGGCAAAGGATAGTTAAGGAAATCTGAAGGGAAAACCCACTTGGTGTGGAAAGCTGTGGGGAGGGGAAGGTTTTGGTACAGCAGAGAGCAGCTCTGCTTGGAATGGGTCATCTTGATCATGAAGCCTAAGAGAGGAAACAGGACGGTTCTGGAGAGCAGTAGAAATGATGATGACTGGAGGGTGAGGAAGTGAGTCTGGGAAAATTGTGAATTTGAGGCTAACCATAGCCTCTGGAATGGGATATTTTTTTTCTCAGATGAGCCTGACTCAGCTTGGCAGCTTTGTTGCTGCCCTATGGATTACTCCAGATGGAAGATGGAAGTGGCTGGCTGTTACCATGTGCTTTGTTTAGGCTCACTGAGAAACCCCTGGCACAGGAGTAGCTTTTCTTCTGTCTAGTTTCACAGCTATACTCATCACCATTGTCAGGAAGCCTCCATGGATATATAGTCTCTTTTCCTCAGCGCTGTTTCTTCCCAGCTTTCCTAATTAATGGCACACAGCCATCCTTAATGCCTGATGAAGATGTTTGTGTTTGTATCTGGTTTCTTTTCATTAGCCATGTTCAGTCAGAAAATACCTATTACACCCTCCTTTTCCTCTCTCTCAGTCTGTACTTTAAGTAGAGCCATAAGAGAGCAGAGGGTGACCTGCGTCCTCCCGTTCTCCCACTGGTCTGCAGTGATGAGAACCGAAGGTGAACACAGGCTCTACAGTCATCTTGTCCTGGCTGGTGTTTCTTGTAGCTCAGAGAGGTGAGAGGTGGCAAGAGGTTATCTAATGAAATGACTTAGGCCTGTTGTCTTCCTTCGCTCTTAATAAGCGTTGGAGGTTAATTGTTGTGGCCTCTGATTTGAGGCCACTGAGTAGTTTCTGTTTGGTGAAGGTGCTGACCTTAGTAACTGGGGAAATGTTGGGCTCAAATCCTGACATGAGACTCAACTGCTGACAAATTTGAGACTCTCAGCCTGGGGGTTTTTCTGTAGTGATGGACAGATAGCAAATATTTGACAGGATTATTGAACAGCAGCTCAGCTTTCCAAGACTGGTATGCTCTGGGTAGGAGTGGCACAGAGCAGTTTATCAAGGGAGTGCTATCAGGCGTGAGAAATGCATTTGGGGAAAGGAGGTAGAGGGGGATTGGTGGGGATGCAGGGCTGATCTGAGGACAGTTGTCCTCCAACATGTAGTTTAGTTTGTCCACCTGAGTCAATTGCATCAAATACAAACATAAAACAGTTTGTTTCTTTTTCTCTGAAGTAATAAAATTAAAGACTTGGCAAAGGACACATCCTGCAAAGGATAAACTAGGGAGGGAAAGACAGCCCAAGTGCGTTCAGCTGCAGTGCGTATTTCTTAGTGACCCGATGGAGCCTTTGGAGTACCCCAGAAGGATGCAGACTGTGATACCCCTGCCCGTCGTTCCTCCTGGTCTCTCTTGAATAGAGGCATCCGACAGGAGTGAGGAAGACGGGCTGGGGCAGGGGGGAGAGGGTTGCCTCTCTGGCAGCCTTTCCTGAGGAAGCCTGAAGAGATAATAAAGCTGTGTAGAAAATAGGATTAAGGTAATGAACAGGCACTACGGAGTTTGATCTTTCAATAACGTCAAAGCCTGAGTGACAGGCAAATAAAAAAGCCAAGGCAATCTAGTTCACTGGGCCTCTGTTGCAATGGCTGGAGTGTCAAACTTATTCTTCCCTCTTCACCTGTCACAGCTGGAATGCGCTGCGCCACTGGGGCTCTTCCTCTGCGGGGAGCCGTGCATGGCCTGGGAGTCTCGTCAGCGTGTGCCAGGCAAAGGTGGTGTGGGGAGCGCGGCCGGGGAAACTAGCACATAGCCTCTTGGGAAGCTCGATGAGATCGTTCATGGTGAGGGAGTACAGAGCTGTCTTTGCAGCTCTTGACTTCTCCATAAACTGTTCTTATTCCTAGACAAAAAGCAAAGCTCTAGACTCATTTTTAGGGCCCCCAGCAGTCTCATCAGGAAATACCAATTTCTTGCTTTGGGATTTGTGTATGTTGTCTCCATGCTGACACTCCAGAAGTGGGAGTGTGGCAGGGAAACACAAACTCAGAATTGAAAAGCTGCTTCTGTGCTAGCTGTGTTCTGATAATGTCTGGCAGAGAGTCAGACTCTACCCAGGCCCTCCAAGTTAGCTGATTACCCTATTCTTGTGGCCAAGAAGGACTGGAGTCTGATCCGCAGAGGCTGAACATGGTAAAGACATGTCTCTGAGAACAGAAACAGAACAATTTCTCCCTCAAAAAATGGGGCAGGGGAGAGTCTGATGCTTAAGACATGTTCTTTAAAACTACAAGGTTCATTAGCATCACCTTGATTTTTTCCAGTGTTTTCCAAGACCTAAAAGTTAGTTTAGTTAGCTGGGTTTTGTGTACATGGGCGTGGGTAAGTAATACTGCAGCAGCTCCTGTGACATTCTCTTCCCTTGGGGTAGGTGGTCTTTTCCCCACAGCTGAGAGCTGGAACATGCTACAAAAGGATTTAAAGCTTAAATAACCTTTTGTGTACTGATCTTCTTAGTTCCAGGCCAGATAAGTCCTGGGTTGATGCTTGTAGCTGTTGGTCATGGTATGTTTTCGTATTTACGACCTTCGCTGTTCTCTGACCCTGGGGCAGCCATTCTCATCCCTCAGAGAGGAAGGGGATAATGTCTTCACCTGGAAACATGTTCTGGGCTTTGAAAAGGACTGGTTGGGTTTTGAGGCGAGGAAATTTTTAGTGGGGAAAGGAAACGCCTCTTGCTACATCCTACCCCCACAACTGTCTTTCATTTCTGACTCTGCTCAGATGATGGCATTGGATCAAAGCCGCAACAGGCAGCAACAAGCAATTGTCAAAGGGAATCTAAAAGCAGGGGAATGACTGCGTAATGCCAAGACGCTGTCTCTGATGGCTGAAATTCCAGCTGCTGCCACACCTGGCCCTTTCTCCTGTAATGAAGGAGGATTTTTTCTTTTTGCTTTTGAAGCTGGCTGGCTGCTCTTCTAGAGGACAAAGCTCACCTGACAGATGCTACATTGCACCATCAGATTACTTTCAGATTGTGGGGAAGTTGCTGTGCACTTCTGGCCACTCAGTGCTCAGGATCAAGGCGAGGGATATGCGGATGATTAGAGGTCTGCACAGGAAAAGAGAACAGATAGCAGTCAGTAAGGGCCACTGGATGCCAACTGGTGCCCTTGCATTGAGGATCAGATCTTGCTGACTCCTTGATCTCTTGCCTCTCTGTGCCAGTGAGGGATATGATGGCAGCTGCCCTCTTGCTGGCTCCGTACCTGTGCTCTCTGTGCATGTGCACCTGCCTTTCGCCTTTCTCTGCTCAGACATTCCTTTCTCATCTGCCAGTGCTAGTATGCGGCTCAGCAAAACAGCTACTTAATGGCAAGTGAGAGAGAAGGAAACTTTCTTCACAACCTGTTCCTCTTTCTCTTCCTACCTCCTATCTCATTTGGTAGACCAGTGTGCTTTAGCTGTAGAGAGCTGTTGCTTCCCAGTATATCATGGTGGTCTGCATGTCTTTAGGAGACAAATGCCTCAAGGATGCTTCTCCTCAGGGTATGACACTCCAGAGGCATTTTTTCAGCAGCTCTTGGAGCTGTTCTGCCAAGTCTGATGTCTGAAGTGGAGTGCTGCTCTGTCGGATGTGGCAGTCCCCACGCTGCAAACGCTTGGAATGCACAAATCCTGCGTTCTCTCTTCCTGCAACACAACATGACAAGCCCAGGGCATGAGAGCCGTTGTGTAAACGGAGCCAAAGTTAGCTGTGCCGGGCAAACCACCCCAGCTCCTCTACCTTTTTAAATACCCAGTCTTTGTCCATCTCCTCCCCGCTTTTGAAAGCATTTTTGGCAGAGTGTGGGTTTTCTTTTTCTTTTTTTAAGAACCCTCTAATTTCTCTTTCGGTTTTTCTCCCTCTCCTGAGCCCTTTGAAAGTGGCTTTACGCCGTCACTGACACCAAACTGACACTTTGCGTTTCCCCACTTCTTATCCCTTTATGGCAACAGATGTTGAAATTTTGTATCCCTTTTATCTGTCCCTCTTTGCCCTCTTCCTGTAATTAGGTTTCCCTTGTTAGCAGTACAAAGTGGCCCGGTTTGCTGCCTGGCCTTTTGAGCCATTGTGTCTGAGCACATTTTTTTTCTCCTCTTTCGGAAGAGTTCCTTCCCCCTTAAGTAATAGGCAGGGTGTGGGCCAAAGCTGTGGCTTTTTCTTGTTTCTTTGTTCTCCATTTATCTCTGCCACCTTTTTCAAAGGGATGGGGGGAAAAAAAAAAAAAAGAGAGAGTGTGCATTGAAGGGGAAGATACAGAGTTGCATTTCTTGACCGTCAGGGCCCCCCTGCTCTTCAGGTGTTCAAGGCAGGTGCCTTTGATGTCTGCACGTTTTTGGGAGGTGGACGGTAGAGGACTCATGAAAGTGGCTTGGGAGTGGAGAAAGGAGATTCAGGTGTGTACCTAGTGTGCTCAGCAGAGGGATGGGGAGGTGACTTGCAGGGTAGATGGGCAGCTGCTGAGCAGGTTCAGTAATCCGTGTTTGCCGCTAGTGCTATTGTGTTGTGGTCTGTCTTTCTGAGAGGCAGCGTAAGTATTACCACTACAAACAGATGGCTGAAGTTTGTTACCTTGCTGCTGCTTGATCTCTGGTATCTGTTTCTATGGGAGCCTCACAGAGAGCTTGCTAGGTTGTGCCTGCCTGTGCAGCAGGGTGGGCGAGAATCAGTTATTGGCTTTGAAACCTCGGTGTATGTTGATTTGCATCCGCTTTGGTGATTCTTTATAGCCACTGAGTGAAAGAACATGAGCAATTGTCAGGAAGGAGGGAGGGCTTGAAAACTTCTGCTCCTTGTGCCGGTCTTGATCAGCAAGTGTAAT